CCAGGTCTATCGCCTCTGGTGTCTTCAACACCTTCACCACAACCCGGTCCTCCACAACCCCACCTCATGCTTTCAGGTGCGAATACGGCCATCCTCCATGGTGCTGTTCCTTTATCGGTCGGTGCGACTGGGTTCGTCAGTGTATCTGGCCCTTCTGCCTCTGGTGGACTCTGCCCCCCACCACCAAGCTCTACACCGACACCACCGCCTCATATGACACCCACTCCATCTTCCGCAGTCACTTTCACTCCACCACAGGCGGTGATTCGACCTCCCGGTGGCCAGGCCGTCTTCATCGACTCAATTCTCTCCCAACCATCTGCATTGTCACAACAATCTCAATCACAACAGCAACAATCGAATCCCGTAGGGCTTTCTGCACCGATGACTCCGAGCCAAAAGGGTCAGGCAGCTCTCGCTGCATCCACTGGTCAGTTAGTCAATTTCATCTCCACTCCATGTATGCCGCCTCCCGTTCCCTCTCAATCACCGGGTCCAGTGATCACCTCTCTTTCTCTAGCCCCAATGTCAGCTCAGTCTCCTGGTGGAGTAGTGTTCACCTCAGGGACGATCGGCTCAGGTATGGGAAGCACAGAGACGAACAGTAGTATCAGCCTTGCTAGCTCGATATCGAGCTCTCCCAATGGAGCTGGAATGACTACCACCTTTTCAAATTCTGTCCCAATTAGCCTTGCATCCAGACCTGCTCATCCTCAATTTGTGCAACCTGTATCACACCGGCTTTCTATGTCTGGCTGTGTATCTTCTAACTCCACTGTGTCTGGAATACCGCTGATATCGCCAATACTGTCTTCTGGTATGCCATGTATGCCTCTTCAGTCGACACCCCCACCGCAAACCTTACAGTCTCTGGTCCCACACCCACCTATTCCGGCTCAATCACCTGCTCCTCCATCTCAGCCGCCACTATCAGCTGTCTCTCCAGGACAATCAGCCTCTTCTTTGGCTCCTCAATCAATTTCTATGGTTAACATGGCTAATGGTCACTTGCCGACTGGTGGTCCCCCACTTGTTGTCATCAACCAGATTACTACTTCAATGGCTTCTCAGATTTCCGCACCCATGCAGCAGTCACAGCAACAACAGCCCATGGTCTCTCTTTCCGGTTCGGTAACTCTAACTTTATAATATGAATCCGGTTCTCTATGCTTACTTCCAAAACAGAAAGCCTATATCTGAATTTCTCAATGCAATTGGCACATTTTTACGCTTGGCTTAGATCCTGTTTCTGGTTTTAGTCTCAACGCTTCCTAAAATTTTGGAACTCGTATTACTGGCTTTAGGCTGTTATATGTACTAAGATAGTTTGGAAAATCCATTTATATACTTCCTTCATTTCACATCTTCGGTCTTTTCGAGATATTCCGTTCACGAGAATGCAGTCGGCCACAACTTACTTCTGTGTTGAACTTTCGTTTCTCCTGTAAATTATCATAGTCTAAGTTTAGGGAACCTATATAAATTAGCATAACAGTTAATATCCTGAATAAGAAGAACGAGTGTATGAAATTAAATAGGAACTATTTATGGCTGTTGGATAGACCTAGGGAGAGAGATAGGGGGAAACATGAAGAGCCACTGAGCA